CCAATAGGATACACTCTGCTTCACACATACGCGACTCAGAAGACGTGGAAGAACAGCTCTGCTCCATTAACAAATTCGAGTATGCCTGATTCTCAGCGCATGTTGACCGCTTTGAGTCGTGTCGATCTGTTGGGCTGAACGACAGATCAGGAAGTTGATCCAGATGCTGGTCCTCCAGCTTGGACACTTTATCTGCAATAGAGTGAATGCAGCTCAAGGTTTGGCTGACTGGTCCGCCAGAAGTTTCTTGCCGAGACGAGTTAAGAAGCTCTGGGTAACGTATCTCAATAGTGTAGCCGTTACCGTAGCAATCCTTAATGTGTTGCGGACTGCCCAAGCACTGAAACTGGCCATTTACCATTATGCCAAGACGGTGACAAAGGGCCTCACATTCCTCCATGCTGTGCGAGGTCAATACCACGGCCTGACCATCCTGTAGGGCTTCGGCGATCCGGCGCCAAAGAAACCTCTTGGCGCCCGGGTCCATGCCGCTAGTAGGTTCGTCGAAGAATACGACTCGAGGTCGACCGATCAACGCCACGGCGGACGATAACTTGCGCCGGTTTCCGCCCGACAGCTTGGCGACTATTTTGTTGCAGTACAGGGAAAGGCTCATCTGCTCAATTAATGTATCAGTTATGACGGCTAGCTGAGGCATCGAGTAGCCTCGCAGACGAGCATAAAGAAGAAGTGTTTCTTTTACGGTAAGGTTTTCATGCAGTGCGTCAAACTGAGGGCAGTAGCCGATCAGAGCGCGGGCCTGATGGGCCTGCAGATGAACATCAAGACCTGCCACAAGAGCGCGGCCCCGTGACGCAGCCAGGTCCCCGGTGAGCATGCGGAAGGTAGACGTCTTACCGGCGCCATTTACGCCCAGAAGACCAAAGCATTCTCCTGCGCGTACCGAGAAGGTGAGGTCACGAACACTGGCTGTACGACAACCAAGATAGGTCTTCGTAAGCTCGACGGCACGCACAACGTCATCCTTCGAGGTACCAGAAATGTCAGCCTAGGCCCAGAAAATTGTATTACAGTAAATGGTTAGGCGAAGAAAAGTGAAAAATGGCCATAGAGAGTGAAGCATGAAAAAAATGAATTAAGTACAAAGACCAAGATGTTGTGACCTCGATTTTGGTCTTAGTCTCCTTTCGATGTATAGTAGTTATTTGACGTTGTTATCGCGATTTGGCTATATTGGCACGAAGACCTAGAGGAACGCATATCGTTCGAGGTCCATAGTATGCATGACAAGCTCCATAATCATACCATGGAGTTGGTACATTCCCAGACGTTTCGCCGGCAGCGTCAGTGAGTCTTGTCATTCTGAGGGAGAGGGATCGGGTCACCGAAATTGGGCATTATGACCAAATTAACTAATAATCCACTCGAGATGCCGCAGGCGGCCAGAGATAGATATCCATAGTTTGCTCAGGGTACACGGGTTGAATCGAGGAGATGATGCGTGAATGCTATGCCTAATATCCGCAAGCCCGGGAATCTGAGCCTAGGCGCTCTGCAGATGAGGCGACATTGTACGTGCTACTAAAGGCCTAAGAAAGAGCACCTGGAGTAAAAGTAAACTGAGGCTGGAACCGAGTGAAATCGGTCAACCATAAAGATAAGAAACGAACCTGTGGACCCATGAGGCTGATCCAGACAAGAGGCCCGAGTCGGATCAGCCACTGGAAAGAGGGGGGGAGAAAGGCAAACAGCAGGTTTGATGAGGCCACAGTAAATTGGCAAAAGGGGGACATCTATTGTGGAATATAAACATGTCAGAAGTTTTGAGTGAACGAGGGCAATGCATTAAGGTAGGAAATGGATAGAGGGGCCAGGACACAAAGAGGAATGATAGCGCAACCGTTTCGGCAAAAAGTTGGCCAAGGGATTGACTTCACTTATCACTTTGACGAGTGGTAGTTGGGTGCTGAGAATGGCAGTTTCACTGATGATGTTGACGAAACGTCTGGGAATGTACCACGTCCACGGTCCGACTCTGGAAATAATTATGCATACAATGGACTCA